GCCGCATCTCCGCCGTCAGCGTGGCGGAGCGCGTCGCCAACGAGCGCTGCGAGGACCTCGGCAACAGCATAGGGTCGGTGCACGCACGCACGCACTCACGCACGAACGCAATCACTCACGCACGTAATCACGCATGCACGCACGAACGCACTCACGCACGCACGCACTCACGCACAAACGCACACACAAACATGCACCCCTCACACACCGCTAGACATGCAGCCAAGGGCGGATCCAGGGTTGGGGGGGTCACGACTATGTGACCCCCCCTGGCGCCAAAGCTGGATCCGCCCTTGCATGCAGCTCCCATGTCTGACTGTGCTGTAAAGCATTTTTTCCCCTATATAAAAATACATATGCTAATGCACATTTATATCTTACTAGCTTTCGCCCCCGACTCTGTCCGTGTAGAGTTAAAATAGTAATAGTCTATATTCTTCCAGACTACGCTTTGCATGTATGACAAATGTAATCGAGATCCGTTCAGTTGTTTAATAATAATAAACATTCAATCAGCTCGAAACACAACACAAACAAGAAACAACATCCATCAATCTAAACTTTCACATTTATGACATTAGTAAGGTCAAAGTAATAAGAGTTTTTACTTCATTTTTTAATGAAAATGTTAAAGACTTGAAAGATATCGCGAAGGGTTTCGTACTTTTTTAATTATAAAACTGACGTAAAGACAAACTCATTTAAATGTATATGCACCAATTGATGATTGTTTTGAAGAAATAGCTGCAGTTAAATCATGATTTTGTTGATTTTGAAGCGTTAACACTTTGTTCTGTAAGATATTATAAATTAAAAAAATATATAAATAAAGTTTTCATGGTCAGTTTTGTCGCTAAATAGATTTAAAACTGACAGAATCCTGCACGAATATCCTATATATTTGTTAAATATTGAAATATATATATTTTTAGGTATTCAGTACGTTTTGAATCAGTATTACCTCGTCCGTACGGGTCCGTGATGTTCTGTACCGTGGGCGTGTTGCTGAGGAAATTGGAAAGCGGCCTGCGAGGAGTCAGCCATGTACTAGTAGATGAGGTAAGATAAATGAATAGTACAGTCGAGGAAATACGCGATGTTACATGTTCAAAATTAAATTGGATTGTTGTGTATAAACGTAAACTCCGTCTTTTATAAACAATTAATGAATCCCACGGGAACCGTAAATTATCCCGGGATAAAAAGTAGCCTATATGTTCTTCCAGACTATGTTCTAAACCTGTACCAAAATTCATGGCGATCCGTTCAGCCGTTTAGGCTACAAACGCTAACAAACATCCATCCATCCATCTATCCATCCATCCATCTAAACATTCTCATTTATAATATTAGTAAGATTAGGCAGAGAGCGTCATACGGGATAATAATAATAAAAATAATTGCTTGTGTATAACTGATCATCTTTTTCAGTACTTTTTGGAAAACGATTTAAGCTTTGAAAGTGGAACACCGATTTCCTAATTGTACATGTTTTAAAATAAATCTAGTGTTTTTTAAAGTGTCAAATATATCGATATCAACATCTGATGCCATGATTTTAGAAATTCTATTTCAATTAGAATAGATTGGCCTTTTTATTCTTTGTATAATTAATTTATGAGTTGGTAAGAACTTAAATTAATCTATACTATTATAATAAGGCGTAAACACACACTTCTTTGTTGCCTAAGATGCCAGCAATCACAGCATGTTTTCGAATAACTTTTTCTAATAAAAAGCCCTACACTTACGTCACGCTTTAGGCTATATATTTTCACGCCGTTAAACTTAGGGGTAAATATTTTGGATAAAAACTTTAATGTAGGAAAGAGTAGAGTAAGACCATAAGTTGCTGCCAACATCAAGGAAGCGATTGTCATTAGTGCATTTGAATTTTGACATTTGACAGACGTAAACAATAAAATAAAGTTATTATAATTTCATGCGGATGAAGCCGCACGGGAACAGCTTGTTAAAAATAAAATGCTTGCTTTTATGTATTATAAATTATTTATTCCATTATTATTAACTATGTTATTTCTTTCAGGTTCATGAAAGGGACGCGGATACAGACTTCGCTTTGATATTACTACGAGATATGGCGCATACTTACCCCGATTTGAGAATTATATTGATGTCGGCTACGGTTGATGTCACTTTGTTCACCAATTACTTCGGAAACTGTCCTGTTATTGAGGTAATATTTACTAGCTTTCGTCAGCGATTCCGTCCGCGTGGTATAAAAAAAAACAAGTAACCAATGTGACCTTCCAGACTATCCTCTACATCTATGCCAAATGTCATTGGGATCCGTTAAGCAGCTATAAACTCTAACAAACATCCATCCATCTAAACTTTCACATTTATAATATTAGTATGATTTTATTAATATAAATGTCATCAACTTATATTTTATTGCTATTAATGTTTAAGAACCATTAATAAACCCTACCGTTAAAAATTCACTTAATTTTAACTTTTTCTCGGCTTACGCCGCCTAAACCGTTAGAGGTATATAATAATGGTGAATGGAAGAATTGTAGATTTCAGTAAGTTCTACAGAAAAATCCGCGATAGAATATATTCATTAACAGTATTCTTACAGTAACCTGTTTTTTGTTTGCAAAAGGAATTAAAAATCGCATGCTATTGCGTCGTTGTTTATAACAAAATTGCCTGTAATTGATCTCGGTATCAAAAATAGATTAAAACACATAATTAAAAAACAAATTTTCATCATAAATACTAATTTCAAACTTCACATTTGACAAAAAAACTGTTTCCAATGGTTTTCAATTTGTGACCTATGACGTCATAAACCGGTAAAACGTTACAGATCCCGGGACGTACGTATCCAGTGACACAATATTTCTTAGAAGACTCCATAGAACTGACAGGGTTCACTCCGCCGCCGGAAATGCGTAAACGCAAATCTACCGGAAGACGAGTTACTAAGGACGATGATGATGATGATGATGAAGGTACCAAACACTTATATAAACTAGCTGATGCCCGTGACTTCGGTCCAGTATTAAGATAAACAAGAGACTACGTATCCCGCGGAAACCTGACAATTATCGGGGATGAACCGTATCCCAAGTATTACAACAGACTTTGGTTTATATATGTGCCAAATAAATTTATTGAATCGTTCCAGAAAGTATTAAACATGAAAATACAAAATTCGTGTATCCCACGGGAACTGTAACTATTACCGGGATAAAAAGTAGTGTGTTCTTCCAGACTATTCTCTACATTTATGCGGGATTCTTTTTGTTTCGCTTCTAATGTCGTCTGATTCTACGTATTTATCCATTTATATGCCTTAATGTTACTAAGATCACGTGAACACACCAGTCGTCTTATTTTTTCAATTTGTCATCTGTCAAACTTCCCTCTCCCTTCCGCGCACATCCGTTCCGTTTCACCATCGTCTATCGTTTTATCTTCCAATCTTACATCTATGACGAATTTTATCGAGAATAATTCAGCAGTTTAGACTACAAGCTTTAACAAACATCCATCCATCTAAACTTTCGCATTTATAATATTAGTATGATATTTGTAGGTTTAGGAGAGGAACCGGAGGAGGATTTGAATAAAACTTGTGTTCTCGGAGATAATTATTCTCTTAGTACTAAAGATGCTATGAGTAAATTGTCTGAGAAAGATGTAAGTATATTTTTAATTATACCGTGTTTTTATTATTTTTTTAATTATATGCTATTTACTATAATTTACAAAGTGATACTTAAAATTTTATTTACAAAAATAACTTTTTTGTTTTTATGTGCATTTATTTGACTTTCTATTATGATTCTAATGTTCAGTTTTTTTTTAATCAATAAATTCCATTAAATTAACCTAAATTGTGATACAAATGTATAAGAAATACTTGAAATACTTAAATAAGTTTAGTTTTGAAGCGCCAATAGCCTTATTTTTAAGGTTACGGATAAACCATATCATAGCACAAACTTCAGCTTAGTTGGAATGGTAAAAGAAATCTTAGTGTATTACAAAAATCTAGTATTAAAAAAAATATTTTTAGCTCCTATGTTAACTTGATTTATTTGTTTTTCAGTTAAGTTTCGAATTAATAGAAGCATTATTATTACATATAAGGAATTTAGACGGTGACGGAGCTGTGTTGATATTTTTAACCGGTTGGAATATAATTTTTGCGTTGATGAAACATTTGATGAGATCAAATATATTTGGGAATACATCGCAGTATGTGATACTTCCTTTACACAGTCAGATACCGAGAGAGGATCAGAAGAAAGTCTTCATAACAGCACCTCCGGGGATGACTAAAGTATCTATATCTATACTAACAAAATACGAGTGTCTGTTTGTAATATAAAAGAAAATTCCTGATTTAGGGAAGATGAATTGAGTTGCTGATAACGAAAATCGCATTTTTTTTGTGTCTGTCTGTCTGTCTGTCTGTCCCTCTGGCCCTCTGTCTGTCTTGCTATCTGTCTGTCTGTCCGACTTTTTGTCTGTCTGTCTATCTGTTTAGTAATCTCCAAACGGACGATAACCATAGACGGTCATATTATAGGTTTTTTTTTAAATACCGCGCTGTCAAAATGGCGTAACGGGCGGTCCTAATTTGCGGTGTTTATTATACTAGCTATCGCCCGCGACTCCGTCCGCGTGGAGTTAAAAAAAAAAGTTAGTACCCTATGTGTTCTTTCAGACTATCCTCTATGTCTGTGCCAAATTTCATCGAGATCCGTTCAGCCTTTTAGGCTACAAACTGTAATAAACATCCATCCATCCATCCATCCATCGAAACTTTCGCATTTATAATATTAGTAAAATAACGATTATTTCCCTATTTTGTCGAATTGGGTTGTCGTTTACTCGTTTACCTTTTTCATATATGGATGTAAATATGTTTCCAGAAAGAATATAGTTTACTTAAATTTAATTTCCGCACAAAGCAATTAATCAAGTTATATGCAAAAATTATTTGTGTAGTTTTTACGAGTTTTTTCTTACAGGTTATATTATCAACAAATATAGCAGAAACATCGATAACAATAAACGATGTTGTTTACGTGATAGATTCCTGCAAATCTAAAATGAAATTATTTACTTCGCATAATAATATGACGTCATATGCCACCGTGTGGGCCAGCAGGACTAACTTAGAACAGGTAACTTATGTAACTTAACCATTTAATATTTAAAGTTTCTTTGATACCGGTGTTATAAATCGCATTGTTCTAAAATCTATTTTTATTTTAAAACTAGATTTTCCCATACGGCATAGAATTATCAAACCTTTATTTATTGTTTATATTTGTCAGATTCTCAATTGCAATTTTCAAAATTACCGTTACCATAATAACCTTGTTTCCTTAATGTTGGCAGCTTGTAGTTTATGGTCCCTTTCACACATGAAGTTTTTTTCTAATTTACTTAACCCCCAATACTCTGATGAGTGCGAGCAGATTATAATTCTAGTCTTATTTCCTTTCCCACGCGTTTTTTAAGAAAAGCATGTAAAAGAAAAATGAATTTAGCAGAAAAGAGAACGCAAAGGAAGGGAAAACATCCTATTTCTGTGCGTTCCTTTCGTCGACTTTTATAATGCATTGTAAATGTGGATATCTATAGAGGTTTCGCTATTATAGCGAAATGTGCGACTTATTCGTAAAACTGTGTATTCCAGCGCAAGGGACGCGCGGGTCGCGTGCGCGCCGGCGTGTGCTTCACGCTGTGCTCGCGCGCGCGCTACGACCGCCTCGACGAGCACCAGACCGCGGAGATGTTCCGCACGCCGCTGCACGAACTGGCACTCAGGTATCAACTAGTTTCGCCCGCGACTCCGTCTGTCCGTCTGCGGGGATTTAAACACAAAAGAAAGTAGCCTATGTGTTCTTCCAGACTATCCTCTATGGCAAATTTCATTGAAATCCGTCGAGTTCTTTAGGCTACAAACTCTAACAAACATCCATCGAAACTTTCGCATTTATAATGTTACTAGCTTTTGCCCGCGACTTCGTCCGCGTGGAATTTAAAAAAAGTAAGTAGCCTATATGTTCTTCCAGACTATCCTGTACATATATACCAAATTCCATTGAAATTAGTTCAGCCGTTTAGGCTACAAACTCTAACAAATATCCATCCATCCATCCATCTAAACTTTCGCATTTATAATATTAGTAAGATTGCTCACATCCTATGCCACGAAGTAGTGTTTGTTTACGTTTATTATATTAGTATAGATTCCTTGATTAGAAAATAAATTAAAACAGTTACCCTAAAATTAAAATTATCTAAAAAAAACTAATATATAATTATGTAAGACATTGTTTTATTGAATGTAATAAATACAGTAATGTGTTGCAGTATAAAGTTGCTGCGGCTGGGCAGCATCGGGCACTTCCTGTCGAAGGCGCCGGAGCCGCCGCCGCTGGACGCCGTCATCGAGGCGGAGGCGCTGCTGCGGGAGCTGGGCTGTCTGGACTCCGCCGACTCCCTCACTCCACTCGGCACCATACTCGCCAAACTGCCCATAGGTAACCTAACCTAAGTGTCTTCTATATATCTTTTACTAGCTGTTCCCATGCGACTTCATCCGCATAAAATTATTAAAATCATATTTTATTTTTTACATGTGTCAAATTATCAATCGCAAATGTCAAAATGACATGACATGACAACTTTAGCAATCTTGCTTTCTTGATGTAGCAACTTATGGTCTCTTTCTCACATTAGGGTTTTTATCCAAAATATTTACCCCCTAAGTTTAATAGCGTGAAAATATATAGCCTAAAACATGATGAATGTATAGTGCTTTTTATTAATATAAGAATTATTCAAAAATATGCTGTAATTACTTACATCTTGGCAACAAAGAAGTGTGTGTTTACGCTTTATTATAATAGTATAGATTTATTTAGTTACTAGCTTTCGCCCGCGACTCCGTGTAGGTGTGGAAGTAGAAAAAACAAAAGTGAGAACCCCATGTGGTTTTCTAAACTATCCTCTACGTTTATGCCAAATTTCATCCAGATCCGTTCAGCAGTTTAGGCTACAAACTCTAAAAAACATCCATCCATCTAAACTTTCACATCTTACTATCTTACTTCTTACTAATATTATAAATGCCAAAGTTTAGATGGATGGATGTTTGTTAGAGTTTGTAGCCTAAACGGCTGAACGGATTTCAATTAAATTTGGCATAAATATAGAGTATAGTCTGGAACACATAGGCTATTCACTTTTGTTTTTTTTTTTTTTAATTCCACGCGGACGTACTTGCAGGCGAAAGCTAGTTAATAATATTAGTATATGTTTGACTTCTTTCCCCTTTTATTTTCCCTTCATAGTAGTTATAAAGTGTTCCGTTGTTTCCAGAGCCTCGTCTGGGTAAGATGATGGTGCTGGGCTTCGTGCTGGGCGTGGGCGATGCCCTGACCACGATGGCCGCCAACTCCACCACCTTCCCGGAAATCTTCGTGGTGGAAGGTCGCAGGAAGCTGTCCATGCATCAGCGAGCTCTCGCCGGAGAGAGAGCGTCTGATCATGTCGCTATGTTGAACGTATTCCAAGTATGGAGTATTTGATTAATATTAAAAGTTAAAATCTTTGGATGGATGGATGTTTGAAATTTGTCATGGATTTAGAATATATTATTGAGCAAATCGTAGGCTACTTACTACTTACTTTTACTTACTGCATTTTTATTTTTATTTCTGCATAGACGTTGCTGCGGGCAAAAGCTAGTGTTTATATATTTACATTATTCATGATTGTTGTCAATTACTTTTTCTTTCAATTTTTACTGTTTATTTTAAAAATCCGCAAGTTTAAATGTGTTTGACGGGGGAGGGGACATATATTTCCCTATTCCTACCAAATCCATAGTTCCAAATTATATTAAAAATGCTACAAATTAATAAGCAAAAACAAAAGTATGTGTTCTTTCCAGACTATTCCCTACATGTGTGCCAAATTTCATCCAGATCCGTTCCGCCGTTTAGGCTACAAACTCTAACAAGCACCTATGCAGCCATCTAATATTCGCATTTATAATATTAGTAAGATTATTTTTTCTACACATTCATTTATACTCCCTTACCGTGAAGTGTAACTTTCTTTATTTTGGTTAATCATATTTTATTTTATTGTTGAATTATATACTTTGATAACCTTAAATAAAAACCTGGTCTTACTATACATAATACTTAATGTTGAATGTTTTATATATGTACGATGTTGGTTTTTTAAATAAGTAAATAGACATCCATCCATCTAAACTTTCATTCATTTTCATTCAAACCAGCTCATTATACGTCCCCACCGAGGGGCTCGGAGCCTACCCTAATAAGGGATGACTAGGCCATAGTCAACCACGCTGGTCAAGCGGGTTGGTTGACTTCACACATATCTTTGAATTTCTTCGCTAATATGAGCAGGCATCACGATGTTTTCCTTCACCGTAAGAACGTCGGGTAAATTATGAACATATGAAAATTCGAAAAATCGAAAATTACATTGGTACATGGCAGGATTCGAACCCAAGACCTGTAGATTACACGTCAAGTGTTCAAACCACTGAGCCACCGACGCTCTTCACAAACTTTCTTCTTCTAAACTTTCACATTTACAATAGTAAGCTTGTGTCATTGTCAGATGTGGGAGCGTGTGCGGGCGAAGGGCGAGGAGGCGGAGCTGGGTTGGTGCGACTGGAAGGGCGTGCAGCAGACCACGCTCAGGGTCACATACGAAGCTAAGACACAGCTCACCAGTATGTATGAATATCTCTACTATTGTAATAAAGCGAAAACACACTTTTTTGTTGCCTAGGATGTCAGCAATTACAGCATATTTTTGAATAATTTATTTGTTAATAAAAAGTCCTACATTTACATCATGCTTTAGGCTATATATTTCCACGCTATTAAACTTAGGGGGTAAATAAATCGAAAAAAAAACCACCATGTAGGAAAAGGACCATAAACAAGTTGCCAACACCAAGGAAGTAGGATTGCCATGGTTTCTCATCTTGTCATTTTGACATTTGCAATTGATAATTTGACACATGTCAACAATGAAATAAAACTTTCGTAATTTTATGCGGATGAAGTCGCACGGGAAGCTAGTATTTCTTAAATTAATATTAAATGTTTTAATTCTAGATATCCTAACGACTTCAATCGGTTTCCCTGGCGAATGCTGCGAGCCGCAGCGCTGGATGCCGTCAGGTCCTGATCCTATCCTGGACCAGGTGATAGCGCTCCTCTGCATGGGGCTGTACCCCAACGTGTGCGTGCATCAGGGGAAGAGGAAGGTACGGTCAGGGAAATACGCGGTGAAATAATCATGTTTTTTGAAACAAACTCCGGCTCTTAGTAACATAATTATACTATAAAGAGGAAAGATTTGTATTTTTGTATGTATTCGATTCACGTAAAAATTACTGGGTCGATTTCAAAAATTATTTTTCTGTTAGAAAGGTAATTTATCTGTGAGTAATATAGGCCAATTTATTTTATTTTTTTTATTCCATGCCGCGAAGTCGCGGGCAACAGTTAGTGTCAAATATTTTCGTGTCGTCTCAATATAAAACTTTCAAACGACTAGTTTCCTAAGTGGTATACCGACATATTCCCCGATAGTACATACACGATAGTACATACAGTCACGGATTTTAATTTCATACCCACTTGTTTGTTTCTATTTATCCAGGTGTTAACAACAGAAGGGAAACCAGCTCTAATACACAAGACGTCAGTGAACTGCAGCAACCAGGAGCAGAAGTTCCCCTCGCCGCTGTTCGTGTTTGGAGAAAAGGTTCGCACGCGCGCCATCAGCTGCAAGCAGACCAGCATGGTGTCGCCCCTGCATCTGCTACTCTTCGCATGCAGGAAGGTCGAATGGGTGAGTCACTGGAACCTGTCCCACAACTGGCTGATAGAGGCCCAGATAGCTTGACACTTAAATACCAACCAAAAAAAGTACGGACCAAGTCTGTAGATGTCGATTTAAAAAAAAAAAAACTTGAATACCTGAAGGTTTAAATTTGATACCAGGGTTTTAATTAGTTTAAAAACTTTATTATTAATATAATATGGAGGTATTTTCATTAATAACACTCGTGTTGTACTGCAAGGAAACAATTTTATTTATTACTAGCTTTCAACCGCGACTCCGTTCGCGTGGAATTAAAAAAAAACAAAAGTGAGTAGCCTATGTGTTCTTCCAGACTATCCTCTAGA